AATATTTTGGTTTGTAAGCGCTTATAAAAATGAAAACCACAGATATCTCAATGCTTTATAGCAGTTACCTTGAGCCTTAGTTCTTCTGGTATTTGATCTGATTTTCCGTTAGTTATATTCATTTTGCTTGACACTTCAATTTGCTACAAAGATTGTTGTTAGAAGTTTAGAAGCTACAAATATGGCGTATTTTGGAGATCAACTGATTAAAGTTCTTCGTCTTAAACAGTTACATTAAATTGCTGCGAATGTAGACTGGAGAAATTGTGTTACACATAGCCACAAAAAAAAGGAGGAAAGGTACAATTATTTTTTTCTTTTTCTTGAAATAGTAGAAGATGTAATGAATAGAAAGCCTAATGTTTAAATGCTTCATTACTTTTTGAAGCAGCAAGAAAAAGCGATATTATGAGTGAGGGAGGGAAGAAGTTTTTTAATTGACTTCTATGGGTATAATTTTAAATAGCAAAAACGGGTCAAAGTTGTCTTACTTTTTCAGAAACAACTAATAAGACAGGAATATAAAAAGGAGCTGATATTTTATAATTAGTTGTTAATTGCAATCAGTGGTTCCTTCAAAAATTTGATAACAGAAGTCGCGGAAAAACACATTTCATATCTTCATCTATAGAGGATGCTAAATTAAGGCGAGAAAATGGCACGTCAGTTTTGTACATGTATGAAGTTCAAAGAGGCAAAAAAAAACTTTAGTACAGCACAGTGAAGCATCTAATAATAGTGCGTGCATAGACTTTGAAATAATTATATGGTAGCAGACGATTCAGAACAAACCTATGAAGATGTCGAAAAGTATAAAATGAAGAACACTGTCCTGAGCAGATCTTGTCGAACGTCCACAACTGCAATGAAAAGTTCTTTTCGCGTTATTTAAGTCAAAAATCATCAAAATATTCTTAGCCAACTGAAACGACGATAAAACTTTTCTCAGCAGAAACTGATTGCATATGGATGAAAAAAGTTTCATTGTAAAGAGTCGTTTTGTTTTTGTTTGGTACGAAACTCGAACTCTAGTCCAATCGAAAAATTCATAATGTTTGCAAATTGCAATTAAAAAAACTCGTTAGATTGCTTTATAACTTTAGACTTTTGCTGTTCATTTTAATAGCCGTAAAATCAATTAGTCAAAAAAGTTCTTCATCGTCTGTAAGCCAACTGTATTTTCATGTTATGGAAGGGTTTTTTAGCCAAAAGAAACTTTGTATTTTTTTAAAGCCCACAAAAAACTAATTTTTAAATTTTGACCAAATGTTTTCCAAACAAACGACAAGTTTTTATTATTTCGCAGGACTTATCTTCGCTTATTTAAGAGGTTTTGCTAAATTTCTCTATGAAGAAAGTTTGAATGGCAATTGCAAACTTGTTTGCACTAATTCGCACTTACTGGAGTATATGTTCAAAAAAGTCAATAACTCTTACTGAAGCGTTGTCTATTTTACTTTTAGGCTAAGTCTGACGATACGGTGTAAAAATTAAAACTGAAAAAAACTCTAAAATCTTTGGTAAAAATAACAAATTTTAAGCAAATAATTTTCAAATTTTTGGCGTAGTCGTATCAATAAAGTTTTTCTAATCTAGCAATTTTTTTGCTCGCTTTTTTAGTGATTTCTTCAACTTAAAACAAAGATTGAAAAATAGTCGCAGAGAACACAGTAATTACAGCTTCACTTGGAGTCACTTCAAACTATGTTCTGCAGAATCGCACAGCACAACACAACAGATTTTTTCCGAGAAATAATCTTAAAAACTGACTTCTTAGAACTTATTAAAAATAGGCACCTTCTGAATAACAACTATCAGATGCAGAATGGTAGGCTATAGTTGCATTATTGTTCTTCCAGCCACCAAACAACAACAGACACCAATCAGCTTAAACTTTTTATTAACACTACCTTAATGACACAAAGAACTTCTTTGGAAAGTTTTAAAAAGTTAATAGGAGGTAATTCTACACTTTTATATGAGGACAACTAAGTAATTAAATTCAGTGATTTATAGTAGAAACTGCTTCAAAAAACTTTACATTAAGACATCTGTATTGATGAAAACATTTTTATTTGTACAGAATTGATTTTTGTGATCAATAAAAAAAAATTTTTTTTTTAACCAGAAACCAGTTAAAAATGCAAATAGGCATTATACCATTTTGGAAAAATTCGCACAAGAAAAAAAAAAAAAAAA